GAGCGACTGTAGAACATTTCTGAATATGCAGTCAAGAAAAGCAAATATTTAAATTTTTAAAATGCAGTTCACTTATGTCTCTGTCTTGCCCTCACCTGTAGAAATAGCGATGTGGCAATGATAGGGAGCCTTTAAAATACAGCTAGTTTCCATTGTGTATCATTATTGTTCGAAGAGCCATTGAAAGCAGTGCACGTTGGTTTATGGTTTGATGGTGTTTTCATGATGTTCTCGATGCAGAGAAAGGTAGCATGGGCCCTTGTTAAGTGAGGTCTCAACCTGTTTTTTCTCACTTGGCTTCATGTCATAATAAGTCAAAGAAGATAGAAGCTCAGGTTTCATAGACACTGTTGTGGGTAAATTGAGTCTATGTGCTTCAGAGTCATGAAACCGGACTGCGTGGTTTTAAACAAAATGCATGGCTAACACTTCTGTCAGTGGCTAAGCATGAGGCAAACTTGAAATGTTCCCATTAGTTGTCACCAAAAAATTGACAGTGTGTCAATTTACAGGATGATGGTGAAAGAGTGTGAGTGCAAAAGCAGTGCAAGAGAAAGCTCCTGAGGACAGTTTTTTCCTTTAATGTTCTTGGAGGAAAGAGGTGTCTATTTTTTAGTACTTCTAGATAAGTTGGAAAGTAGTTTATTTTAAACTCAGTGTTGTAGTTCCAAGGTACACGTAGTTCTTCTGTGGGGCCATGGGGCCAAATCATGCTAGATATAGCAAGGGAGATGGAGAGGCACTGCTCTGTCCAGATGCACAGACACGTCTTCATCCCCACGACGGAGCACCTCACAGCAGTTATTATACAGTTACTGTTTACAGAATTCTTAGTCAGACGTACAGAAAGAAGGTGCCTTCTGGGATTGCTCGAGATGTAATGATTTCTGCTGGGAAAACATAAAGTAATGCTAGGAGAGGTGTGAAGATAGTGTTTAAAATGACAGGAAGGGATGGGTGATTGGATGGGGCTTAACAAAACAACAGACTTCCACAGCTTTTCAGCTATGATTCTAGAAAGAAAAATGTTAAAATGGTATTAGGATTGAATTTAACATTCTCCTTTATGTGCAAGGTTTTAACAGTTTGGACTCTTCCTGCTGTGAAGTTCCAGCTCACTTAGCCTTTTCTTCTAACTTGACGGAAGCATTGCTCTAAGTCTGTGATTTCAGTCGTGCTGGTTGTTGAAGCAAGTTTCCTCCAGTTCATAACGCTTGGGTTTATTGCCTCTCTTCCTGCTGCATGTAGTACAGCCTTGTCACTTGGCATCGTTGTAGTGGTAGCAGGTGGACCCCATATCTGTTTTGCTAATTTTTACCCTCAGATTTCACATTCTAGTTTATTTATGGAATGTTTTGTCCTACATGTCAGAAGCAATTTTACAGTTTTACTCAATTGTGTTATTTATTATATT